TCCAAATTTCTCTCCCTTTAGTTTTATTCTTCCAAGGTTTTATTAATTCACAATCAAAACAGTTAACCAAAACATAAAACTTCTTTTGAAAAGTGGCTTAGCCCCGGGTTACATCTTTTTTTACAGACCTAAATCAAGTTCATGCTCACCTTATATACCATTCATATCTTATTAACCATTCTATATTTTCTATATAACTTCTCCCTTCTTTTCACTCTCTTAATTATATTTTATTTATTTCATCTTATTTCAAAATCAGTATGTTTGTATCTTTTGTCCGTTCTTTTCCAATCATCTATTTATCTCTTCTCTTTAGCAAAGAATTTCCCCTGTAATCACTTTTAAGGTGTGACGCCTTTCCCTAAAGTAACACTTAAAATAATACACAATTTCTATCCTGATTCTGCTTAGTACATTCTACATATTGCATTTTGAAAAAAAAGAATAATAAACTTATAATATAGTTAAGTATATAATTTCCATTCTAATTCTAATTAATAGTATAACTAAGCATTAATCATTTTACACATTCTCTTTGATATTTTATTAAATATTGAAATCTATCATTATAAAACATTTTAATATTTTAATATTTTGTTAAATCTTATAATATTCCAATAGACTATTTCAAATGCAAATATTACAATACTATCTTATGTACTCTTGCAGAATCTTTCTTAAATTATACACTGTCCTTTATCCTTTATCTCTAAAAAAGATATCTTGTTTCAGACCGTGGCTTTTTTTCCCTTTTTCCCTCCCTTTCTTCTCCAGTCTGATCTTTTTGCCCCCCCCTCTCCTAACCTCCACCTTTTTAGCTTCCCCTCTCTGTTGTAATTCTCTTTTCAATTGCTTTCTAACATTATACCTTTTTTTCACCTTATTTTTCTTTTTCTTGGTTGTTTTATTGAATCTTAAATTCTCATTTTTCCTTCCTCTCTTCCTATTTTCTTTCTTAATCGAACTTTTTTGTCCATTAAAAATGGCTTCCTTTTCTTCTTCTTCTTCTCCTTCGTCTTCTTCCTCAAGTATTTGCTGGTACATAGAAACTGCCATTTCTAAAAAGTGGAAGACAGCTCCCAATGAATTCTTGCCATTTTGTTCTCTTTCTTTTAATTTTTCATATTCCATTTTTAGTTGATCCACAGAGGGTGCCATTGTAAATTTTTAAGAACAACCCAGATGTTTTTAATCTTAAAGTAATTTGCAAATGTCAAAGTTATCAAACAATCCAAACAGACAGAAATTATTTCCTCTTCTTCTCTTTGCAACTTTTCCTCCTGGGGCAAAATCCCAAATATATTTTAAAGCCGTATTACAATTAGTTGTTGGTCTTATAATCTTCAAAGCGTCTCCTCCAACAGGTTTTTAACAAAGAGCTTGTTTTTACCTCAAAGCAGCAGGTTTTTCTGTGCTCACTTGCTTTCTCCGTAAGGAAGGGGAGTGAACTTTCCTTCAGCACTTTCGCCGCCCGTAACAAACTTCTTTTGGAAACAAATGTATCAATCCGAAAGTCAGGCTTCCAGGGTGTTTTAAAAGTAACTTAATGTCCCGGTTCAGCCAAGAAAACTTCTCCTTCTGTCTTCCTCCTGCACAGTCTTATCCGGTTGAAGATTCCTTTGTGGCTGCCATTTCTGACAGTCGCTCCACCGCCTCAGGAAAAAAGAGTCTAGCCGGCTGGGGAAAGGGGGTGCGATATCTCCAGACCCCTGCCCGGATCTCCTCTGTCTTCTGCTGCCTCTTCGGGGCAGCGACAACCCCCAAATCTAGTTGGATCGGGGGTACCTCAGCGGCGAGCGCAGCAGGGACCCACAGAGAAGCGGATTCCTGCCGCCGCCGAAGCCTTGCAACCGGAAGTTCCCGAATATATTCAAGTCTCTTGTGTATTACTTATATGACAGTCTAAGTATTTCACATTTGGCGAAGACCAGGAACAGTATTTATTTCAATTTTTATCTTTTCTTTTGAACATTTCAACCAAGACATTTGACAGTTCTTTGATCTGTAATTAACATGAAGTTCTAGTAATTTGGATTATCTCCTGTTTTTCTTCATCCAACCTGTGTCTCATACTAAGTAGTATTTTAGGATTTGAGTAATTTCTATAGATTTCAATTCCTAAGGTTTTGAGACACAAAGAGAAACAGGATTCTGTTTCCAGGTTTCTTTATTGAAAATATGTCAGTTTCTTATGAACAGGCCTATTTGTCTAACCCAGAAGTGTCAAACTGACAGCATCACGTTGTCATCATGTGATCTATCATGACTTTTCCCCTTTGTTAAAATGGGTGGACGTGGCCAACACATGATGCATCTGGGTCACAGGCCGCAAGGTTGACACCCCTGGTCTAACTCATAAGTTAGGTCCTTCAGTCATAAAATTAAAAAAAGATTGTAAATCTATTTTCTGAATGTCTGTGGAGATTCTCAATCATCTAGGTCATCATTGTCCCCAAAGTGCTTTTTCAGAAGGCTTTCAAGAAAAAACTAAAGTCTTAAGTTGCCTTTTGAAAAAGCACCTTTGGGACAAGATGCTGTAGACTCTTTTTAAAAAATATAAATGTTGAACTAGACTAAAAATCACGCAATTCTAACAGCAAAAATATTGTACAAAATTCAGATAATCAACTAAAAGAGGCTGATAAAGAATCTCCTTGATTGCAATAATATAAATATGTAAAGCAGAACTGGAGAGTGGTACAATAGCCATTGAAAAGAAGAATGTTGGAATTAAACTTTGCATGAACCAGTTGGAATTAAGCTTCACCAGCTTTTACACCTAATTGCACTGTTCACTGGGGGAGTATATGTAGAGATACACATAGTCCTCATTTAGCAGACAGTGACTGTTCAAAATTATAGCAATCATGAAAAAGTTCACCCGTAGTTACTACCTGTTGAACTGTGTTTGACCCCTTTTCCCCTTCCCTCTCACAGAGCAGATATTGTCTAAACAAGTTTCCTGAGCTGCTTTTTTCTGTGTCACAACATGTCCCTTAAAAAGTGCTAAGCAGATTGTTGTAATGACGAGGCAGTCGAGTTGCTTGATCATGATCAACTGAATCATGATGAACTTTATTGGAGTCTAGCCTTGCATTTATACACATTTTTAGTAATCCTCCAACATTGGTTAACTTTGGTTACTGCTTACCTTTTGTTACTGTTTAGCATAATAGCAATTAACACAATTAATTATCTCTAGTTAAAGTCTAACATATGTTTACTTCCTCTCTTTAATCCTCCTTTAGATTAGTAACTTTATTTACCTGAGTTGTATTTGCTTGTAAACATTCTTTATCTGAGGTTTGCCATCCAAGATAGGAACATTCCTGCAATTACAACTCTACAGCAGATGTTAGTAAAGTTCAACTCTGTGTTCTCAGTAGATTAGAAATCTTTCACCTGCTAATTGCTGTCTGACACTGACAAGATTTTAATTATTTTCACATTACAGTGTTGGAAGGAAAATCCATCTGATTCAAGTTCCAAGCTGGGAAAAGACACTGGAAATAATATGGAGACTGATAGGAAAGACTGTTTACTGAGAGCAGAACCAGTACACACACAGTGTGCAGTTCTGGGACAGCTGACCAATTGGTTTGGTTTTACATGAGCATTTGCCCAATCTTTCTTAATAGGCATAAAATATCTGCTGGGGCTATTAAGAAAGACTTTAGTATGCTTTCTGTCTTTAAGAGCATATTTCTTCATTTCTCCCTTCAGGGAAATATAATCTACTTCTTTTTAATATTCCCCAAAATATTTCATTCTTCGTGGTGGGAGGGGGGGCTTCCCACAACAGTAAAGGCTTTTGTTACCAAAGCCACTGGCAAGGCAAACAGCGATGGCTAATGCTGTGTATTTTCAATGTGTATTCCTCATTGTGTGCCTGTTTACGCTTTTGTAATCTTCTCCTCTCCAAATAATGTAAATACACAAACATTAATGTAAATATAAACAATCTTGCCAATTATCCCAGTTCTGGTGTGAGCATTCACTCCAGGATAGGGGAATGGGGAAAGGGGCTATAAGATTTGTCCTTTTTACCTGGTTCCCTTATAAGTCAAGTTCTAGATAGTTTTCCAGCCATTTGGGTTCACTTGTTTGGGATTGTAATCTTCTGATGCTTAAACAAAATCATAAGAACAGTTGTGGTTAGATGATTTTTCAATTAGCGGTTGCTTCATTTAATTACTGAGTTTCCAATCCCAATTGTAGTTGTTATTTGGGGACTATCTGTAGTTAGCTGAGCATCTCTGAACTTTTATTTCCTTCCCATGTCTAAAAGACTTGAGTAGAATAGAATAGAATAGAATAGAATAGAATAGAATAGAATAGAATAGAATAGAATAGAATAGAATAGAATAGCAGAGTTGGAAGAGACCTTGGAGGTCTTCTAGTTCAACCCCCTGCCTAGGCAGGAAACCCTACACCACTTCAGGCAAATAGTTATCCAACATCTTTTTAAAAACTTCCAGTGTTGGAGCATTCACAGCTTCTGGAGGCAAGTTGTTCCACTGATTAATTGTTCTAACTGGTAGGAAATTTCTCCTTAGTTCTAAGCTGCTTCTCTCCTTGAATAGTTTCCACCCATTGCTTCTTGTCCTGCCCTTAGGTGCTTTGGAGAATAGTTTGACTCCCTCTTCTTTGTGGCAGCCCCTGAGATATTGGAGCACTGTTATCATGTCATCCCTAGTCCTTCCATTCTCCTCCTTAGTCTTAATGCTCATGATTTCAACAGAACTGTTTCCATTCATGTTGCTGCAATATCTTTGGTCATTTCTTTCTGGTAGCTGTCAAAGCACATTAGCAGGAAATATAGTTACGTAAGCTACTTTTAGTCACATTTTGTGACTAAACGTGACAAATGGAAGTCACATTTTTTTATTGTATTTGAACTCACCTCATTTTACTTACCTAGTGTTTAATCTAAATATTTTAATATGTTGTTACACTTTGCTATGGTGCAATGTCTAATCATTATTTTTTTCCTTAGCTGTTCCTTTCCAGGAAGCCTACATAAAAATGTTTATTACATTGAAGACCTTTTATAATGCTTCTTGAAAGAGCTGAATAATTTAGAAGTTTTGGTATTTCACAAAAAGTTTGTGAAAAAGTGAAAAGAAATCCATTTTATGGTTTACATAAAATATAGGAACACCATGTTTTCTTTGTGCTTTTACAAAGTTTGGTTTCAACCTTGGAAATAAACTAAGGCAATTTCAATTAGAAGTCTGAAATACAAACGGACCTTGGGTTTTTAAAAAAAAATATTTGAAAAAAATTGCTCTAGAATGTGTACTTTATTGTTTACAGTAATTCTGTTTTTCTTTTTTCAGCTATTTTATTTGCATTTCTCATCTACGTGGGTATTTTCATTATTCTGATGATTGGACAGATTTTCATAAAGTAAGTAAATATTTTAAAATGAGACTAATTGGATGTATACATTGTTTTTCCATATTTGCATGTTAAAGCTTAGTTTAACCATTGAACAATATGGCAGCGTATTGAAATTTTTCACAGAAATCTTTCTCAAAATATATACTTTTTAAGAAGTAATATTTTATGTTTATTAAGGAAAGGGCCTTCAGTGGGGACTTTCTTTCTCCACGAATTGCTTGTTTTGAGAGAAAATTATTTCAACAGCTTTAAAGTGCTTGATTATGACAATGTTTTCAGGATGATAATTTTAGAAGAACATTTGTGGTACTCAGGACTAAAATCTGATTTTCTAAATTTCTGTTTTATAGCACTGAACGAGTAAGAAATTGGTTCTTCAAAAAGATGGATCCTAGAGAAACTGATCGACTTATTAATTCAGTAAGATCTTTAATAGTGGGATCATATATGTTATTTTTAGACTTCACTCTGTTGTTTTCTGACACAAATAAGTCATGAAAGCTTAACTATACGGACTGATAATTAGATTTTTCTCTTTACAAATAAGTTGTCTTCAGATGAGTTCAACCATGCATGTTAACCATAAAGCCTGAGAGCTTTATGATCATGAAATAATTGTGTAAAAACCATCATAGATAACCTTCAAAACATTTGAAGGTAACCTAACATCGCTGCAGCTGAGTTGCTTTTTCATGTAAGCGCTTCAGACATTGAATGACATACACTTGATTTTTGCTTAACAAGAGATAAAAATCAATCTGAGTTTAATAAAGCATATACTTGCATAAATGGATTTCATTGATTCAACTTAAATAGGTTGACTAATTAGCACTGATATTATATTAATACTGACCTGTTTAGTTATGCTAGAGAGGAATGCTATACTTATTTTTTGTTTTGCTCTAGAATGAGGCCAAATATAATTAAAAGAGTACCAAATGTGTCTGTGAATTCCTTTTGCAATCTTAATTACCAATTAGTACAGTGGTGAATGTACAAAATTAGCCCAACTTACTGGGATCTGTAAAATGAAGTTAAAAATTAAGAAAGACAGGGAACTGCTACGATTGAAGGAAAAGAATTATCTAGAATTATCCAATTATCCAATTCAATACAGAACATGGCATGTGAAAAAATACATATGGAGAAAACATTATGAAAAGACAAGATCCTTGACAGGGTTACCAAATTTATAATTAAGTTTTCATAGCTAATCTTTCCTTGTCGCCTTCATTTTTCAGGAACTTGGATCCCCAAGTAGAACAGATTCCATTGGTGGTGAATTCCCAATAGGAGTATGGAACACTCCTTCCTCTCTACCGAGACTTCGTTCCCTGGATACCTTCAGAGGGTACATTGCAGTTCTGGATAATTCCTTGGAATTTTTCTGTAAATGTCTTTGAGAATATTATCAGCTGAGATTTATAGGTGCAGTAGTATTCACATTCATGAAGTACTAGTGGTAGCTACCAAGAGTGGAACTCA